CAGCTACAGTGATGGTAATCAATCGATCATTCTTTTTTTTTTTTTTTTTTTTTAATCTTTGGCAACCTTGCTAGTAATCCTTTATTAAGATTATTATATAAATAAATTACATAATATTAAGCTTAATATTTAGATTTGACATCCTCTGGCTATTTCATGAGTACCCAGAAGCGGTCTGCTGCACTGATCCAAAGAATTTCTTTCAAGACCAGAAGGCTAATACTAGGTTAGCCATGCAAACTATACCAAAAGGGTTTGTAACTATTTTGAATTAAATCTCTAAAGCCATTAACCTAACAGTTTTCTATCTTTTTAAAACCCTTCTCTTTTTTTTTCTTTTTTTCTTTTTTATCCACTTTATCTAATAATCTACTGAATTGTTTTGAACCCCCTTCTTTGAATCTTGATTTATTATATTCTGGTTTTGTTCTTCTTTCTTCTGTTAGAATCTTGTTTCCTCACTTTTTATCTTTGGTTGTGATTTCTCTACTAATTTTCTATTTGTAAAGAAGTTTACATCTTTCTTTCCAAATGTTTTCATGAAAGCAATTCCAAACTATATCTAAAGCTAGCTCAATGTATGTCTTAGCTTCTTTACTCGATTGTAAGGACTCTTGTATCTTTTTTATCATTTTTTCTTGAACCAGACCTTTGATTGACTTGAATCTTATTTCGTGAGATTCTTCTTTAGATTCTCCCCAGAGCATTTTTTCTAAAAGGACTTTGTCTGCTCTTCTTTTAGTTTCTTCTGATAAGGCTACCCAGGCTAGCTTTGCTGCAAGGTCTTCAGCAGTCTTCCAATTCATCTCTTGTTCTTTGTAGCATGCCAGGTGATCTTGATTCTTCTCCTTCTTTTCTTTACACACAATACAATTTGGATCTTGATACAGGTCTAGACGTCTCTGCAATAATGTTTCAAGTACAGAAAGCATCTCATTGGTATACTTGAACAAGGTTTCTAGATGTTTGCTTTTCTTAGTTGTTGTACATCTAATACAGTTGCTCTTCTTAAGTTTTTTTCATAAATAAGACCAATTGTTTTCTTTATAGACTTCTTCTAGTTCAACTCTTTGAATTGCTTTCAATTCTTTCCAGTTTGCTCCAATCTTGAAGTCAAGGAGTGTCTTGACTATTTCTCTTGCTGGATATTTGATAAATATCTCATCTCAGAAAAGTGAAACATTAGATCTAAATGGTGGTTAAAAATGATACTATCTCTATTTTCTACTACAGCACCTTTTTTAGCTAAACTATCTGCTCTATCATTCTATTATTACTATGACCCTTTATCTTAACTAACTCTAATTGGATCTCCTTTACTTTAACCAACTACAATACTACAGACTAAGTCATGATTCTTTAGTTTTAACTATTGCTTGTTTGTTACAATATTTCTTTCTCTCTCTATACTTGCAATTGCTGCTGCACTATCTGTATAAATTTTAGCTGCTTTTCTATTTGGTGTTGCTAATATTACTAACCAGATTGCCAATAGTTTTGGTTTAGTTAATGATGGCCAATTTTGGGTCTTTGCAAAATTTTCTTTGATAACCTCCTGTTCTTCTTAATCTATTTGCAATATCCCTATTCACATGTGATCAGGGCCTTCTTCCTTGCTCTTGGTTAGATAAAGTGAGCTATCCATATAGAAAATTAACTTATTTTGTATAAGTGCAGAATTGTTTTGATTCCAATTTACTAGATTGTCTCTAAGCTTAGCAGATATGTCTTGCTTTCAAATTATTTCTATATCTAAATTGTAACTTATGACTCCTGTGACTTGTAATTCCTCTTTTGTAATTCTTACTTTTTTTTCACCTTGATATAACTCGATTGTGTTTAATAAGATTTCTAGTCTCTATTTATTTTCTCTTCTTTTAATAAAACCCGAAAGAGACCCTTGAATTTCACTTCTATAGTAGAGTTTCTCACATCCTTCAAATGCCTTGTTCTGATTAAATATACAACCAGAATATTTTTTTAATATAAGGTTACCAGTGTTATATTCATCAGATATTTTCCAATATTTAACTAGTATTTTCTTGGAGGTTCTTGAGGCTATTTTTGCAATTACTAGTTCTGAATTCTCTTGATTTATTGCTATGTTAATGACTACCTATTTTTTGGTTCTATTGTTTAAGGATAGTCTTGCTAAATAAGCTTTTAAAACCTACTTATTACTGCCTTCAGTTTTATAAAGGGCTTTAACTTGTCTACCTTGCAAGCTTATTAGCATTAACTCTTCTAACTTTTTGAACTATTTTGCAACTTTGCCTTTACTTGACCCTTTTCTAAGAAACTTGAGTTGTTGCCATATTATCATTTGGTCTCCATCTTGGTTTAATAGTTGGTTTACAAACACCAACCCCAGCCCTTTCAAACAGTAAGCTGCTGATATTATAAAAAATGATCCTAGGACACTACTGAGTCTTCGATTCAAATAATATTCTGGTAGTTTAGGAGAATTAAATTAGAAGATGAGGTTTAATTCTCTTGCTCTTAGCATCATTAAATATGCTAAGTTGTTTTTCCAGATTTTTGTGTATGCTTCAAGGATTTCTTTGTGCTAATTGTTTTCTGATGCACCAACCAGAGTGAGACCCTCTTCAATCCTTAGTTTTGTCAGAACTTCTTCTGGTTCAGTTGAGTTAAGACGATTGTTCAAACTTGTAACCTGTTTAAGTAAGAGCTGGTTCTACAGAGATTTGCAAATCAACTGATTATTCAAATATATATATACATAATTATATATTAATGTAATTACATACATACATACATACATAGTAATAAAGTATATTACTAAATTTATAATATTTCCTATAACAATAACGATAATACTATATTAAAATAATATTACTAAAGTCACTTTAACTTTTCTTCAAAAATAGTATGAATGAACTCTAAGCATATCAACATATTCTATTATGATGTTTTAAGCATATTTAACAATAATAATGCCTTTTTTGAGTGTATTTATAAATGATAAAATTTGGTGTTGATATCAAGAATTTGTTTTTTAAAAAATGTCCAAAGAATATAAGTTTAGATGTATCTTTTGACAATTCAAAAAAATTATTATTTTTTTTTTTAATGATAGTAAATTTTTTCCTTAATAAATAAATTTTTTAAGAATTCGATTTAATGATTTTTTTTTGCAACAATTATAAATTTTAGATACATACTTGGGATTCTTTACCTGAATTTTTAAAAACAATACTCCTCTGCAATATACATATATAATTGAAAGCTTTAACGAATTGCTGTTATATCAAACCACAAAAAACTTTAAAATCTAACAATTTGAATTGGATGTATTCATCAATGTATATAATAAAAAAAAAGTTAATGAATGGTTTCTTGAATTTGAATCATGTTCCAAGACGACCATGCCCCAAACCAAAGGATATGTAGTAAAAAGAAAGCAAGTGCTTTTTAGAGAAAAATATTATTGTATACACAGTAATGAGGTGAAGAAAAAGCAGAGAGGTTGTAAAACCAAATGCTACAATCATCAAGAGCACGAAATATTAATTGTAATGTAAGCATCCATCTTCTGCTAGAAAAATGGTATCTTGAATTAACTCATCCACTAGAAATTAATATTAAGTTCACACATAATCACGTAATTGATTCTGCAGAATCGTTAAGCTTCAGGCCGATTAAAGAAAAAATACGAAATAAGTTTTTAGGCCTGTTTAATAATGGTCATTCACCTAGTTCAGCAATATGTTTTCATGAAGATGACTTTCATCTTTCCGCTACAAATGACCAAGAACTACTAGAATTACTTGCAAATAGAACAAATAATCCAGATTATAATTATGTTGTTAGGCTTTTCCATCAATACTATGAAGCTACACTTGGTAATTGGAATGGTAAAAAAATGCTTGATCATTTAGAAGAGGCAGTCAATGATTATAATAGTTCAAATAATAGTAAAGCAGTGCTTCAGAAGTATGATATAAATGTTGGAGATGCATTTATTCTTTGCATTGCGACAGGTTTGATGTGTAGAGTGCATAAAAGGTACCACAAGTGAGTGAACTATATTATATAGATGCCTTAGCTTCATTTGACGCACTTAATATCTCAATTACCCTCTTATATACAAGTTGTACCATTGGTGCACTCCCTCTTGGATTGTTAGTTACTTCAGATGAATCTGAAGTTACATTAGAAAAAGCGGTAATTTTTTATTGTTAAATTCTTTTTATAAAAGTTAAATGTTCATCTTTTAATATTAACTTTGGCTTTATAATTAGCTAAATTTGTTGAAAATGATTTTTCTACTATATGCATTTTACGGACGTGGGCCGAACATTGGACTAATGATATTTCTTATGGACGATTCAAGTGCAGAGCAAAATACGCTTGAGCTCTGTTGGCCACAGGGAGTTCGTCTTCTGTGCATATTCCATATATTAGGCCTTCTGGAGGTGGTTATATGATTCAAAACATCGAGTTAATAAAGATGATCGTGTGTTAATTATAAACAAAATGAAGAAAATACTTTATGTATCAAACTCTTCAGAAATGGAATTACATTATTATGAGTTCCAATGAGATTTTTATCCTACTAATACTTTGCTAAAAAAATACTTTAAAATTTTATGGAATTGCCACTATTTTTGGGCTTTATCATTTCGTTCAAAATTACTTGTTTGTGGAAATAATACCAACAATTATATCGAATGTAGCTTCAGAATTTTAAAGGATATAATCTTCACGAGAACGCAAGCTTATAACTGTGTACAGATATTTCACTATATAATTCAAAAATGAAGAGATTTTAAGAATGACGGTTGCTCAGCTTTACGCACAAACACCCTGGTCATTTACAAATTGCAAAATGCTTTTCTTGTCCCAGTTGGGATAGAGTAAACTTAAATTCTATTCAAAAAACGAATGTAGAAAATGAATATTTGGTATTAAGCACAAGGCAGAGTGATCTTTTTTATACTGTTAACAGTGAGATTGGAACATGTACATGTTCAGTTAGTATGACTGGTACGCCTTGTAAACACCAAGGTGCAGTTGCGATGAAATTTCATATTAAATTATTAAATTTTTTACCATTATTGACACCTGATGACCAAATGATCTATACCTATATTGCACTCAGTATGTATAATGATTTATTACAAACGCATTATTAAAGATCTTCTATTTTATTTGTTATTTTTTTTTTATTTACCTTTTTTTTTTTTTTTTTTTTTTTAGGTTGGGTTGCTAAAAGCAGTTCATTTTATGCTTCACTACATATAAATTCCACGCCACAAGAACAAAGGCCAGAATCGTCCAACAAGATGTTAGAAACAACTTCAAACATGTATATATTATTTTAAAATTAAACATCTTAATCAAACTTTATTTATAATATTGTATATTTCTTTAGGGAATCGTTTGAACAAGAAGAAACTGGGAACTCCATTATTGAACAAAGTGAAGAAAATGATGCATCGCTCTAAATTTTTTTTTTAGAAGAAATCAGGAACGATTACCAAACTTCTGGGCCTCAATATCGTACTGCTTTGAATAAGTTTATTAAACGATATCATGCATCAAATCAATTTCAATCCCTCGATTAACCTCCTTCCTACACGACATTATCCATACTGGGAATTCAACACGTGTTAAAAGTGGTGCTATGATCCGTGTTCAAGTCGAATCTGTAAAATGACGTAAACGTGAGGGGCATAATGGAAATTCGTGTGCTGTTTTAAATGAAATAAAAGAAAACCGGGATTCTCAAATTATTCCATGTTGGAAAAAGAGAAAAGTCAATAAAAAAGAACATAACTTAGGTGGGAATATTGCGAAAAATCAATTAAATTAAATTCTATGTATTGCGTGAAAAATATTGTAACCACATATAATTTTTAAAATTAAAAATGCACATTTATCGTATTTATTGCTAAACTTAATATGTATTTTAAATTTGCTTATGATTATTTTTTTTTTACGCAATAATAAAATCATATGACGGTGGGCGCAGATGAGGCTGACTTCGCCACAAACCTGGCACACATTCAAGGGGTGCTGTACAATACTGTAATGATGAAAAATAACGATTTCGGTGTTTTTTTTTATTGAAATTAATGTCACTTCTATGTACAGCTACGAGTGACATTAACTCTGATAGAAGAAATTTTCTGTCGTATAATTGTTGTTTCCACCTCTAAAGTAAATAGCTATGAGAATGAATAAATTATTTTAATTGATCTCCAATGTCACACCAAGTTAATTTTTTGTTTTGCATACACTTCGGCCCAAATGTTTCAAATTTCAATTTTTTTTACAAAAACAATTTACTTTATCATAAACAAAATAATGATATTTGATTCAAAATAATAATAATAATTATTATTATTTAATCAAAATATAAAGACATGAATCTACAAATTTCAGCATAATCCATCTCAACAATTTCCACAAGTCACTATCGTTAATGACAATATCTGATTCCACCAATGGTTCAGAATCCGTACAAGTCAATTCAGTCCGTCGAATTGAGTCTCGAATAGTTTATTAAAGTTACAAGTCGAATTCAAAGACAATACTCAAAGGAATATTCCGATAAGTATATACTTTATTCAAGCGAAAACGAAACAATTATTTAAGGATGGAATGGTATTCTTTATTTAATCATAAAATAGAACTAACAAATTCTAATCTCTACTGCTTCGAACGTTGGGTCCATAAATACTTTTTTAATTCTTGGCGTGTTTACCCCATAAAGGCTGCGTTTATACGACTACGAGTGCGATTACACTTCCACTTGGATGCTTACACCCCCACGGGGATGTTTACACACCATTTCTTAGTCATTTCCTGTGATTATGCAAAGTGGGCCACAGCAACAGGTTCAAACGGCTGTGTTTGCACCCTCACGGTCGTGTTTACACACCTTGAGTAACAGTCAATCCATCATTACCATTTTAGTATAATTTATGAATTGTTCAAAAGAAATTAACAAGATAAAGCGTCGCACTAATGCTGTGAGCATTGAAAATTAGACAAGTCGAGAGTAATTATCGAGTAGAGAGAAATTGGCAGCCAATCTCATTTATTTGATATGTTAAACGAATATGAAGATTTCTTAAATCAATCAATAATAGAGGCATGATAATAATCATACACGCCGTAGGCATATTGTGAATGCTATATAATATATAAGAGCGCAGAAATTTTTGATACAAGAAATTTTAAACATATACGAGACAATACTTTACATAGCAAATAATATTACATATAGAAAGTACGGATCCTATGCAATACTGACATATCAACATGCGCTTTTATGCTTCTCGTATGAAAATGCCTTGGGTTACCTTTTTGGTTCAGTTAGTAGGTTTTTA